TCACAGAATCGCCTTGCCAAAGGAGAAAAGCCCCCACTGGTACCCGCAAAATTAAACAGAACGGGCTCCCCCCACTGCTATTTGCACACGTGTGTGCACGCACAAAAACACACACACACACACGGAGGTCCAGCAACCTTCCTCTGAGGGGCCCCCTCAAAAAAAGGTGCACTCAGCAGCAGCAGCTACCCCCACCACGACAGAGGAACAAACTTTGCGAGGCAAGCCCAGGCAGCCTCCAGAGCCAAGGTGGCTGAAGCAGGACAAGGAGGAGGAGGAGGAAGCACCGCTGGGTGCTGAGGCGGCCGCTGGCCAGGCTAGTGCTGGGGGTGCCGAGAGAGAAAGAGAGCTAGAGAGCCGCTTCCCTGGAAGAGGTGGCAGCGGAAGCTGCTGTTGGCGGCGCTGTTGGAGGCGCTCTTTGAGGATGAGCTGGGAGCGAGCTCTGCTCTCAGGCATCGCTCGGTAGCGACTCAGGCGCTCGGGGAAAAGGTCTGGCAGCATGCCTCGCTCACCGGCTCTCCCCCAAGACAGCGCCTCTTGCACCCTCTATCTGGAACTGCAGCCTGCCAGCTGGCAGACAGGCAGAATGGCTGGCAGGCTGCAGTTCCGAATGCAGGGTGTAAGAGGCGCTGTCTTGAGAGAGAGCCGGTGAGTGAGGCTAGGCTTTTTTTCTACTCTTGACAGCAGAGGACGCGTGGGCGCTTCAGGGGGCAGGCAAGGCGGAAGCTGCAAACTACAGTATTGTCCAGCAGGCGGCAAATAGCCCCTGGGCCGCATGTTTTGAGACCCCTGGTCTACGTGGATTTGGTCAATGATATCATCCAATCTGACCATAGGCAGAGAAGAGTAGGATACACTGATATCATCCAATCTGACCATATGCACAGAAGAGTAGGATACACAGTTGCTTCAGATTTAATTTGAGGCCCTGTGGCTGAACTACAACTCCCATCAGCCTTTCCAGCACAGCCAATGATAAGGAACTGAAGCAGTTGCAATTTGACAAAAGCTGGATAGTCCCTTGTTGCCATCTTTTGGTTTAAAAGTTGTTTTGTAGCTGAAAATGTGGCTATTGTTTTAAGGTATGGTCTTCAGACATACCTTTTCCTGCTGAGAAAGTGCCCCATTGTCCACAGGCAAGCTTTCCTTTTACAAACTTGTCCTTGTTGCATGAACCCAAACAATGATATGAGGCACTGTTAGCATTTGTCCTGCACCTGCCCCTCTCAGCTGCATGGACCAATGAGCTTCTATAGAACCTGATCGACACCACATGCTTCTCAGCGATTAGAGAAGCTAAAACAGTGGCCACAATCTTATTGGTTAGTTACATTGGTGTGAGTGCAAAAATACAGCAACACTTTGCTGCTAATTAAGAAATCACTGCTTGTACTCCTCATTGGATCCCAGTGGCATGACTTGGCAGATGAGAAGGGACACAAGGGGCAACTCCGCAGCTAGTAGCAATTCAGTGCGATGATTTAAGTTCTTGCACTTGCACAAGTGTAGGTACACAGTAGGATTCTGACCAATGCCACTCATTGGCATTGTCTTAACACACATCTGAATGCTCCAAACCAGCAAACTGCTAACACTCTTTTTTTTAAAGAGGTGGTTACACTTGCTGGTGATCAACTAAGGGCATTTTGTTAGCAGCACCTGGCTGCTACTTAGTCTCTTAATTCCTATGAAAGCAGTAAGGGTGTACTTAGTTTTTCAGATATGGCCTCTCTGTTTTGGCTTTACTGTATTTTGTTAAATCAATCATGTCATGTTGTAATATGTCACGTGTCACTCTTTTTTTTAAAGAGGTGGTTACACTTGCTGGTGATCAACTAAGGGCATTTTGTTAGCAGCACCTGGCTGCTACTTAGTCTCTTAATTCCTATGAAAGCAGTAAGGGTGTACTTAGTTTTTCAGATATGGCCTCTCTGTTTTGGCTTTACTGTATTTTGTTAAATCAATCATGTCATGTTGTAATATGTCACGTGTTGTTATTCATTTGAGGTTGTATTAACCTAATTTTCAGACCTGCTAAGTACCAGATGATTCTTATTATGTTCTGGTATGTAACACCATAGAATTTAAAGCGGGTGCACTTTCTCTTCCACTTGACAATTTGTGCGATGTGCAAGATTATTTAATTTCATCTCTTTTTTTTGAATTTCCCCCCATTTAGGGTCAGTAGATGATGCTGGCTTCTATTACTCTCTCTCTCTCTGTGTGTGTGTGTGTGTGTAAAATCCTTGTTCAGTGCATCTCTGACAAGTTTTTCTCCTCCCCTCCCCTCCCAACCTGAAACAGTGCAAGCCTCGCTGTAACCTTTCCTCACTGGGGAGTCACTCTGGCTCCCCAATCAATTTAGCCCTTGACATCTCGGTTTGCTTTCTCTCTCCCTGCCAAATCTCTTCCATCTCAATGCTCTTCACTCACTTGCTCACATATAAGCTGTCAAGCAGGTATCGCAGAACCCATGCTTGTAGAAAAATTGCTAATTTCACAGAGTGTCACTAACTATCAAGAAACAGTCTAATAGACTCAAATGAAGGCAAAAAGCAATAAGGTTGCATGCATAAACCAGCACTGATATTTAATGTTACATTCAGTGGAATGTGGCATCAGGCAGCCAGATTCATAGATATGGGCAATATTCAAAATTTTAAGTGGCATATGAAATAGTAAATTTCTTACAGAGATTCTTCTGAAAGATTTATGCTCCAAGAAAGTAAGATGCTCAGCAAGCTCTATGGGTTCCAGGTGATCAAACAGTAGGCAAGCTTTTCCCTTCTTGGAGGTTTTTTTCCTTTGTGTTACTCTTCTCATCCAGTCATAAGAGGGTCTGTGAAAAGAGTGAAGGAACTGTTTTCATGGTCTGGTGTCCAACAGTACAGTAATTTATTTATTTATTTAACTTATATGCCACCCACACTACCCAAAGATCTCTGAGTGGCACTAATGGAACTAGAAACCACAAATTGTTTTGCCAATGTTTATAAGAAAGGAAACTTTCGTTTTTACAGTGATCTCTTTTAGTTCAAAATCCTCTTGCAAGGCAAGAGCCCATATTCACTGCTCTCGTCCAAAGATAAATCTGCTTCAAACCGATCCAAGTATAATGATATAAACAGAGCACTTTTGCATTTGATGAAGGAAGGGGGTCACCTAGTCCAGCGTCTTTGCTTCCAGCTGTGGACAGCCAGATGCTTCTCAGAAAGGCAATAGCCCTGCTTTCATCATTTGTCCTCAGAAATTGTATTCAGAGGTATATTACCTTTGAAGCAGGAGATTTTGCTTAATTACCATTGCTAACAGCTATTAATACACCTTTACTTCAGAATAAACCATGTTTGTCTCACAGCATTTGTACAAACCTATAATCACAGAAAGTGTAACTTGACTTTTCTCCAGCCTGGTGCTATCCAGATTACCAATAGCCACCTCACTCAGAGAAATGGGAGTTGTAGTTACACAAACCTGAAGAGCATGAAGTGTGTGTGTGTGGGGGACTAATGCTCCTGTTCTTCCTTCTCCCTCTGCCCCTCAGCATCACGAGATGTTTGGCTGCTGGGTATTGTTATAGCTATTCTGATTTTGCATGTGGCAGCTCTAATTAATGATGCTGTCTTCCATCTAAATCATTTAGTAAGCGTTTGCCTGAAACCCTGTTGCCTAAACTATTATGCCAAGAAGGATAATGATGCCATAAACAGAGAGAGATCTTCAATAATTAAATTCCATTCTACAAATCCATGATAAAACTGATTATTTGGAAGACAGATAAACTAGGAGAAAGCCTCTGCTGGTGCCATCATCCTTCTTCCACAGGCACAAAAGATTTGGATCATGAATTAGTAGGTAATTACTGCTCATAAAAATGTTAAGTTGCTCCAGGATGAATTGACAAGAGACACTTTTCAGGCTTATGAAAACAGGAGATGATGCATAGAGTAAACTGAACATAGGAGAAGACTGTTCAACCATCCAAATGTGGAGGAATTCATTCTGCGCTTTTATATGGAGCAATGGAAGAACCCTAAGGCACTGGTCTTCAGCTGGAGAGTCACAAGCTATGCATGGATTACATTCCAACCTCAAGAGTGTTGCATAAAACCAGTGCTTTCATTCTCTTGCCTACATCTCTAAAAGACAGTAGAAGAAAGAAAGGATGTGATCAGATGGGCATTTGTGATGGCGTTTGGTCCGCTGCAGGGACAGGCTGGTTCATTCCATTTTCCTGCAATCAGATGATGTAATTGCTGGTGTGAACCAGTCCAGCCCCAGAGCGTTCCTTCCGTGGTCTTCAGCTGGAGAGTCACAAGATTACATTCCAACCTCAAGAGTGTTGCATAAAACCAGTGCTTTCATTCTCTTGCCTATGTCTCTAAAAGACAGTAGAAGAAAGAAAGGATGTGATCAGATGGGCATTTGTGATGGCGTTTGGTCCGCTGCAGGGACAGGCTGGTTCATTCCATTTTCCTGCAATCAGATGATGTAATTGCTGGTGTGAACCAGTCCAGCCCCAGAGCGTTCCTTCCTGCTCCTTTCCAGATCCCTGTCAGGGGCTTTTTTGTGTGTTGGAGGGTAGGATAATCTATTTTGGTTTGTTTCCAGTGAATGCAATTGCTGCGATCGACCAAAGTGAGCTTACTTCTTTAACTTCCCAGCTGGCTTCAACATCCGCATATCATTAGTGGATTAAACAGACAGCTTCATCTCTTAATGATATGGGAAAACTGGGGAATTAAATAGGGAAATTACAAACTTCCCACCTGTGCTTCTCCATGGAGCAGAGGGAGGGAACTATATATATATATATATATTAACTGATTAGGGCAGCACTGCTGTGCTGCACTACTTAGAAAAAATGGTTGAAGTGTTCCTCCCAGAAGTGTAAGGAGAGAGGAGAGGGCAATGACAAAGATCTTTTTCTTGTCTTTGCTTTCTTAAAGGAGCCAGACCAAATAGGGTCACTTGGGATGTGTATGCCAGGATTGCACCAATGCATAACAGACCTTGACCCAAGCTGAAGCAACCCTATTCAGCCCAATCCAGCCCACTACAATTGATCCGTAGATATGCCCAAAGAGACTCAAGATCAGATGTGACACTCCCTAATTTGGATTCATGCTTCTACATGTGGTGGGTTACCCACATCTCTCTTCCCCATCCAGTGCTCCTGTCTTGCCCTTGAAGCCATAGTATCATATGGGCCTATGCATGGATTTTACATGCTTAGATCTTAAGCATGCTGGATGCCTAGACGTCTGGTAGCTGCAGAGTTGTTCTAGCTGATGCCAGGTAGAGCTACGCTCTGTCTACATCAGGGGTCTCAAACTCAATTCACCTGGGGGCCGCTGGAGGCAGAACCTAGGGGAGGCTGAGCCACATCAGATTTTCTGCCAAGCGGAGCAAGAGCCTGAGGAAGCTGCCCAGGAGTTTCCTTAGCCTGGCTGGTGCTCCTTGTCACGGGCCCCCATCCCCTCCGGCTCCTTCTTCATTACCAGCAGCAGCAGCAGGAGGATGAAGAAGCGGAGATGGGAGGGAGCACCAGTGACTGCCTAGCCGGGGGGGGGGAGAGGAGGGCACGACATAATTGTTTTTTAAAAAACCCTCACAGAATCGCCTTGCCAAAGGAGAAAAGCCCCCACTGGTACCCGCAAAATTAAACAGAACGGGCTCCCCCCACTGCTATTTGCACACGTGTGTGCACGCACAAAAACACACACACATACGGAGGTCCGGCAACCTTCCTCTGAGGGGGCCCCTCAAAAAAAGGCGCACTCAGCAGCAGCAGCTACCCCCACCACGACAGAGGAACAAACTTTGCGAGGCAAGCCCAGGCAGCCTCCAGAGCCAAGGTGGCTGAAGCAGGACAAGGAGGAGGAGGAGGAAGCACCGCTGGGTGCTGAGGCGGCCGCTGGCCAGGCTAGTGCTGGGGGTGCCGAGAGAGAAAGAGAGCTAGAGAGCCGCTTCCCTGGAAGAGGTGGCAGCGGAAGCTGCTGTTGGCGGCGCTCTGTATATTTAAACTTGAGGATGAGCTGGGAGCGAGCTCTGCTCTCAGGCATCGCTCGGTAGCGACTCAGGCGCTCGGGGAAAAGGTCTGGCAGCATGCCTCGCTCAACGGCTCTCCGCCCAGCACGGGCCCCTTG